TCACCTCCCTTTCCGCTGAATCAGCGGCACCGCACAAGCTGTCGTCTACACAAAGGTATTAGACCCAAATGGGTCGCCATGAAGCCAGCAGAAACACGCCAAGCTGTCTGATCCTTGCATCCTAACTCCCAGGACATTATCTTTCCTAAGAGAAGCACAGGTGCATGGCTACCTCTGCTGATTCTCGACACGAACCACAAGGCGATCCGGCGACCTAGGGCCCCAGCTCAGCGCGCCCTTCAAGTCATCCACCAAGTCCACGTCTAAGACGTGACGCGAGAGTCATGGAGGTACGAAGCCCATGAAAGCTCAGCAGTCGCGCTACTTGGCTCATGGGAAACTCCAGGGCTCGCCCTGGAAGCTCTCCTGATTTTTTTGTTGGATATCCCGCATTCAAGCAAGTTGAGTAGTGACATACGGCCCGGCTCAAGCGAGCGTCTCTTCCTGTGCGGCAATACTGCTTGGCTACCAATGTCCAGGGTTCGGCATATGTCCCTAACATCGCCCCTTCTCGCCAATCGGTTTGGAAAGTGATGCTTAAACCATCCAAAAGGGGGAACCAAAGAAGTCATCCTGTCAACAGAGCAGCTGACAGAACAAAAGAAGCGCTGGCAAATCAGGGAAGCGCTGGCAGTTTGACCTGCTTGGCCTACCTCGCTTCTTTGATTTGCAATGAGACGTTTCGAAGCTGTCTGATTCTCCTGCTGTGTCCCTTGAAAAGGCGATGCAAGACAGGGGGCCCACCAGCGTGAGCACTTGGTTCTGGCAAGGTGCTTGGCTCAGGCTTCTCCTTGTCCTTGCCTGCGCAGTTTCTGAGGACACCCCTCAAATGGGTAAAGAAGCGTGATTTCATGTTTGTTTGCAGAAGCGTGGCCCTTGCTGGAAGCTCACCATTGGCCACAGATGGCTTGAGATCCGTTGGAAGAAATGCCAAAGGCCGGAAAGTTGTGTGTAGTGGGCTCAGGGAGGGAAGGAGGGGACGCTCTGACTGGGTTTACGGAGGGCTTGGGACCTTGAGACCCCTCAAAAGGGGCCTCACGTTGGTTTCGTTCGGATCTGAATTTGAATAATGTTGTCAGCCGCTTGTTTGATCAGAACTGTCGTCATTGGGACGCCGCCGTCAAGCGACTTTGCTGCTTTAAGGTCCTAGGAAAAACGGAGATGGGAAGGCTCATTCGAAAAAAAAATAAGAGGATCCCCCTGTCTTCGTAAAAGAAGTGGTATGCCCCCTCCCCCTTACCCCCCACTTTCTAGAACTCCTATATTCACTCCTAGGGTTTCTGGGGAGCCTTCCTAGCCAACTGTCCCCTTAGTGTTCCTCCACTAATTTTGGATGGGGGACTCCCTTTCTTTTTGAGATCTCATGAATGAATGTTGTCATGCTTCCCTTCTTGCAACCGTCTTCTAGACACAGCCCAGAACCAGGACATCTATCGCGTCAGGCTAAACAGGCTTTACTAGGTTGCCTCGTCCGCAAAGACTCTGTTCTGTGCCCTTCAGAGCTCAGCCCCTGCCCCAGCAAATCAAACATGAACATGGCCGAAGGACAGAGATCCGAGAGAGGTGCGCGTCAGCACATTCCATATCATTCCCGTTCGACGCCTGGAGTGTTTTTGTCTGTTTGTCTGTGCCTGAGTGACGTTGAAGAAAAACCAAACCAAAGCACCAACCACCAGGACCTCCCTTGATTTTTCCTTCCGAAACCAAAACCACCAGGACCTCCCTTGCTTTTGACCATCCGAAACGGGAGGGCCATGCGGCATGGCCCCTCTGGGCTTGCCGCTAACCCGGCCTTCCATGACACTCTTGGCCTCCGCCCTGAGCTGCTGCGTCTTGGGCGACGCCACTCCGGCACCTGGGCCCGGAAACCGCGCGAGCATATGGCTATGTGTCAAAATAAGGATGCCTAAATGGTGGGTGTCCTGTGGTCTCCCTTTAAAGCAACCCCAACCAGGGGCACCCTAAAGGAATATATATATATATATGTATTCAACAAAATCTCGTGCTGCTGTGTCCCTCCCTAACATCCCAAAAGCGGGTACAATCTCGGCAGCTTTTTAAGACTACCATCCTCTTGCAAAGGCCCCAAAGTTGTATCAGAGGCAGAACCAATCATTCGCGCTGCGAGTGACCATCCGACGTTCTCGAAGGCAGCAAGGCTGTCAAGTATTCGCTTTGAACAAAAGTAGCACGTCATCAGACAAAAGCGGCCAGTCAGGGAGCGAAATGTGACTGACACCCTAGCTTCATGAATTGCCATGTACCTGCCAAAGGTTGTGCAAACTGCTTTCAACTTGTTCATTCAAGCTCCAATACGACATTTGAAGAAAGGAGATCCCGCACAGGCTAAGGCAGCGGAAGGCTATAAACATCCCGGAAGGGTCGGAATCTACCAGAAACAGAGCTCAAAAAGCTTCCAAGAGTTGGAAGTTGCAAATGTGGAGGTCAACATTACTCCGCTTCCCTCCGGCCTCCACTGTTTCACAGCCCGGGGCATCTTTCAGGGACAGCCGTCACTGGGGGCGTGGCGACACTGATCTTCTATCTCCTCCATGAGTTGCTCCACAATGCTCTCGCCTGGGACCCCAGAAAAAATGCATTTGGCTTCTATTTGTTTGGCACCAAGGACTTGCATGACATCTTTCAGGTTGACCCGGTGTTTACCCCATATGTGAGGAATCCCCCCTAAAGAGAAACGCCCTATTAATCAACCAGAAGGTACCAATCCTGCACAATTTTGCGAGACACTGCGACTCAGAATGCTTGTCCATGTGAAAAAGTTCAATGAGTCACGATGCACTGGGCAAGACGGGGCCAGGGCGAAGATTGGCAGTCACTGCCCTCGTGAAGCTCCAACAAGCACCAGTACAGCCAATGAGCGCATACGCATCTCGCGCAATTTGCCACTCAAGCAACTGGCGCAGGTCATTTTTTAGCGGTGCTTCAAAATCATGGACGGGTATGTGCGAAAATAGTGGCCAAAAAGAGTGCCGAGTCTCGAAAAAAACAAAGACACGCCCAAACGGGGAAAAAAACAAGATAGAGCCCACGAACCCGAATGCACATCACTTTGCGCAAGCCCAAGAAAATAATTAGAGAGAACATTTTTCGGTATAAGCCAATGGGGCTGGCAATCAAGCCTACTGCGCAAACTATGTTTTTCAGCTTCTAAAACTGTACTTTGCGTGCTCCACTTGTTGCTACAAAGCTACGGTTTTCAATCTGGAGCTGGACACCTGCGCTTCGCACGCTAGACTTGTACTACAAAGTTGCGATTTTCCAGCCGGAGCTGGTATTTCGCGCGCTAGACTTGCGCTACACAGCTGCGATTGTCCAGCTAGAGCTGAAAACCTGTACTTTGCGTACTAGACTTGTACTACAAAGTTGGGATTTTCGAGCTGGAGCTCAAAACCTGTACTTCGCGTACTATACTTGCACTTCAAAGTTGCGAAAGTTGTGACTTTCCAGCTTGCTGGAAACCTGCACACTTCGCGCACTAGACTTGTACGCGTACTAGACTTGTACTACAGAGTTGCGATTTTCCAGCTAGAGCTGGAACCCGGCACTTCGCGTACTATACTTGCACTACAAAGTCGCGATTTTCCAGCTAGAGCTAGAAACCTGTACTTCGTGCGCTAGGCTTGCACTACAAGGTTGTGATTTCCAGCTAGAGCTGGACTTCGCGCACCTGTGCTTCGCGTACTAGACTTGTACTACAAAGTTGCGAATTTCCAGCTGCAGCTGGAAGCCTGTACTTCGCGCGATAGACTGGCACTACAAAGTTGCGATTTTCGAGCTGGAGCTGGAAACCTGTACTTCGTGCACTAGACTTGCACTTCAAAGTTGTGATTTTCCAGAAACCTGTACTTCGCACGCTACGCTTGTGCTACACAGTTGCGACTTTCCAGCTAGAGCTGGAAACCTGTACTTCGCGCACTAGACTCGCACTACAAAGTTGCGATTTTCCAGCGCGTACTAGAAATCTGAGCGCAACTTCTGATTGACACTTCTGAGCGACACACCTGATCAACACTTCTGAACCACACTTCTTCTGATCGACACTTCTGAGCAACACTTCTGAGCAACACTTTTTCTGACTTTTCTGAGCAACACTTCTGATCGACACTTCTGAGCAGCACATTTGATCCGCACTTGATTGCCACTTCCGATCGACAGTTTGAGCAAAACTGCTGAACCACACTTCTGATTGACACTGACGAGCAACACTTCTGATCCACACTTCTCATCCACAGTTCTGAGCAACACTTCTGACCAACACTTCTGATCCACACTGCTCATCGACACTTCTGAGCAACACTTCTGAGCGACACTTTTTCTGATCGACTTTTCTGAGCAATACGTCTGATCCACACTTCTGAGCGGCACTTATTAGCGACACCTGATCAGCACTTCTGAACCACACTTTTTCTGATCAACACTTCTGAGCAACACTTCTGAGCGACACTTTTTCTGATCGACTTTTCTGAGCAATACTTCTGACTGACACTTCTGAGCGACACTGTTGAGCAACACCTGATCAACACTTCTGAACCACACTTTTTCTGATCAACACTTCTGAGCAACACTTCTGAGCGACACTTTTTCTGATCGACTTTTCTGAGCAACACTTCTGGTCGAAACTTCTGAGCAACACTTTTGGTCCGCACTTCTGATTGACACTTCTGATCGACAGTTTGAGCGACACTGCTGAACAACACTTCTGATTGACACTGACGAGCAACACTTCTGATCCACACTTCTCATCGACAGTTCTGAGCAACAGTGCTCATCGACACTTCTGAACGACACTTCTGAGCAACACTGCTGAATTGACACTTCTGAGCGACAATCTGAGCAACACTTCTGATCGACATTTGCGATCGAGACTTTTGAGGAACCCTTCTCATCAACACTTCTGAGCAACACTTCTGACCCAGACTTCTCATTGACACTTCTGAGCGACACTTTTGAGCGACACTTGATCAACACTTCTGAACCACACTTTTTCTGACCCACACTTCTGAGCAACAGTTCTGAGCGACACTGTTTCTGATCGACACTTCTGAGCAACACTGCTGATCGACACTTCTGATCGACACTTCTGAGCAACACTTATTTTGATCTGCACTTCTGATTCACACTTCTGATCGACAGTTTGAGCAACACTGCTGAACCACACTTCTGATTGACACTGATGAGCAACACTCCACACTTCTCATCGACAGTTCTGACAACCACTTCTGATCCACACCGCTCATCGACACTTCGGATCGAAACTCCTGAGCAACAGTGCTGAATTGACACTTCTGACACACACACACACACACACACTTCAGGGCAACACTGCTGAATCGACACTGCTGATCGACACCGCTGACCGACACCACGATCGACAGTTCTGAGCAACACTTCTGATCGATGCTTCATAATCCACACTTCTGATCGATACTTCAGAGCGACACTTCTGCGCAACACTTCTGAGGGAGCAACACTTCTGATCAACACTTCATCGACACTTCTGCGCAACACTTCTGACCGACGCTTCTGATCGACACTTCTCGTCAACACTTCTGATCCACACTGCTGAGCAACACTTCCGACCGACACTTCCGAGCAACACTTTTGAGCAACACCTCTGGTTCGACACTTCTGATCGACACCCGTGACCGACACCTCTGATCGACAGTTCTGAGCAACACTTCTGACCCATGCTTCTGATCAGCACTTCCGAGCAACCCTTCTGAGCAAACACACACACACACATGTAAGCGACGCTTTTGAGCGACACTTTTGAGCGACACCTCTGAACAACACTTCTGGGCAACGCTGCGCGGCACTCCTGAGCGACACTCTGAAAACACCTTTGAGCGACACGTCTGAGCCACACACAATCAGCAACACTGCTGCCTGAGCGACAATTCGAGCAACATTTCTACACACACATCTCAGCGACATGAGCGACGCTCCTGAGCGACACTCCTGAGCGACGCCTCTGAGCAATGAGCCCTGAGCAACACTTTTGAGCACACTTCTGATCGAAGCTTCTGAGCAGGTTCTGTTCCACACTTCTGAGCGACACTTCTGAGCAACACTTTTGACTGACACTTGTGAGCGACAATTTTGAGCGATACTTCTGAACCACACTTCTGATTGACACTTCTGCGCAACACTTCTGACTGACGCTTCTGATCGACACTTCTCGTCAACACTTCTGATCCACACTGCTGAGCAACACTTCCGACCGACACTTCCGAGCAACACTTTTGAGCAACACTTCTGATTCGACACTGCTCATCGACACCCGTGACCGACACCTCTGATCGACAGTTCTGAGCAACACTTCTGACCCATGCTTCTGATCAGCACTTCCGAGCAACACTTCTGAGCAAACACACACACACACATGTAAGCGACGCTTTTGAGCGACACTTTTGAGCGACAGCTCTGAACAACACTTCTGGGCAACACTGCGCGGCACTCCTGAGCGACACTCTGAAAACACCTTTGAGCGACATGTCTGAGCCACACACAATCAGCAACACTGCTGCCTGAGCGACAACTCGAGCAACATCTCAGCGACATGAGCGACGCTCCTGAGCGACACTTCTGAGCGACGCCTCTGAGCAATGAGCGATACCCCTGAGCAACACTTTTGAGCACACTTCTGCTCGAAGCTCTGAGCAGGTTCTGTTCGTTCGACACTTCTGAGCGACACTTCTGAGCAACACTTTTGACTGACACTTCTGAGCGACAATTTTGAGCGATACTTCTGAACCACACTTCTGATTGACACTTCTGAGCAACACTTCTGATCCACACTTCTGACAACATTTCTGAGGGACACGTCTGAACAACACTTCTGAGCAACACTTCTGTTCGACACTTCTAATCGACACTTCTGAGCAACACTTCTGAGCAACACTTCTGTTCGACACTTCTTAGCGACACTTCTGAGCAACACTTCTGATCGCACTTCCGAGCAACACTTCTGTCGACACTTCCGACCGATACTTCTGAGCGACACTTTTGATCGACACTTCTGCTCGACACTTCTAATCGACACTTCTGAACGACACTTCTAATGGACACTTGTGCTCGACACCTCTGAACGACACTTCTGTCTCAAAATGCGCACCGCGCCACAGCGAGAGCGATTTGACCCACCCAAAGTGCACAGAAGGTTCGCTTCGCACGCTCAAAATGCGCACCGTGCCACAGCGAGAGCGATTTCACCGACCCAAAGTGAGCAGAAGGTTCGCTTCGCGTTCGCAAAATGTGCACCGCGCCACAGCAAGAGCGATATGACACACCCAAAGTGCGCAGAGGGTTCGCTTCGCGTTCGCAAAATGTGCACCTCGCCACAGCGAGAGCGATCTCGCTGAGTCAAAGTGACGTGCTTGCCACGAAATCTACACCTAGGCGCACTCAACATGCGCGCCGCACACCCAGGTGCCAAAGTACTGCGCCTGCCACGAAATTTGCACAAAAAGCTCCAAAGTGTCGCGCCTGCCACGAAATTCAACCAAAACGCTCGAAAGTGCTGCGCCTGTCACGCAAAGTAAGCTTGCCACAGACTCAAAATCATCCAAACTGCTGGACCTGCCACGATATCCAACTTTGACACGTTTACGACACGCATCCAAAACTAGCACGGGACTGCGGCGCCAGAATGATTTCGACCAATTTTGACATGTTTCAGGCTCGCCAAAACGAGCCGATTGTACGACAGGGCCAACGCAAACGGCGCCGGCGCAAACACTATCACGCGCCTGCCAAGCAGGACACCTCAAAGCGACCACCCCTGGATCGCAAATCCCACTGGCACGGCAACGAGAACACGCAGCCTTCCAAAACACTGCGCCTGCGCCGCAAAACGACGTCTGACATGCAGAGGGCTACGATTCCCGCACAAGGGCACAATAAATGACACGTTTCAAGTCATCCAAACGACGTGTAAAACGCTTTCCCCAACGGCACGGCCTTACGTTCCACTCGCGGACGCTTGCGAACGCTTGCGGACGCTTGCGGATGCTTGCGGACACTTGCGGACGCTTGCGGACGCCTGCGGACGCTTGCGGACGCTTGCGAACACAGCGACGCATCTGGCGAACCACATGCTGACCCCCAGACCCCCTTCTATAACGGGAACCCTTCTGCTACGCATTCGGGAAAAAAGACTCTACCAACTACTTCGCTTCATCCTCCTTCGCTCCCCGCCAACTTCACGCCAAGGGGCACTTCGCCAGCTCCCCCCGCAGCGCCGCCAGCTCCCGCTCCAGGCGCCGGCGCTGGGCGCCTCGCAAGCGAGGGCGAGCCGCAAGCGAGGCGGGGAGCCAAGGTCGACCCAGAAGTTGGAGCTCCAAAGATCGGAAGGAGACCCCTTGGACCATCTTAAAACCGTGACCCCTTGGATTGTGGCTGTTGCTGTTTTGCTTTTTGTGATTGTTGTTGTCCCAAGATGGTCTTTTGCGGTTGCTGTTCTTTCTTTCACCAGCCGTCTGTTTTCGGAGCTTTGTTTGCTTGTGATTCTGTTGTTCTGCAAGGTTGAGGTTCATGCCGTCGTGTCCCTTCGATTCAGCTTCGCTGTTCTTTCAGTGGAATCCATTGAGCTTCCGAAAAACTCGAGAAGTTCTGCGTGACAAACATCAGCCTGCCACTGGTCATCCTCGTCAATAAGCAGCCAAAGGGCACCAACACCATCACTGTACGTCGTCGAAGCCAAATTCAGGCTGCTACTCACATCCAGCCAATTCTGACCATGGCTTTCATGAGCCACAGCTTGTGCCTTTGTCATTGCACAAAAACTCGCCAACGTGTTGATATCCGGGCTGCAAAAGAAGAACTCGTAGCGAATCCCAGTTCCCCAACTCCTCACCCAAACACAAGCCAGGAACTGGCCACATCAACACCGCCGCACAGCAACCACCCCAATCCCCATACATCGATAGCGCGGTACGCCAAATTCCTGTCAACGACAGCGCCCAGGACATCTAGGTGACAAACAAATGACAATTAAAGATTGCTTATTCACAAGCATCAAACAAGCATGACTACATAAGCCCCACATTTCAGCTCTATGAAATGGAGAGAAAAACTGAAACTGTTGTCTGCTCTGTCTACCGATGCCAGCTAATCAACCTGAAAGAATGTCACAAGCATTATAAAGGATGATCACAAACCAAATCCCATGCCCATGCACCCTCCATCCCCTTGCCCAAACTCCATATCGGATTCCTGAGCAAAGGGGACGGAAAGACAACCGCCGACAGGTCTACTCTTGGAACTTCGCCAAAGTTTACTCCCCAGTCCCTGAAATCTAATATCCCATGTTTGAGATTCTTCTAACGCTTAGATGTGTGTGTGTGTGTGTTTGTGTTTGGGTTCGGGTTCGTACAATTGGTTTTTCAGAGTACCCATGTTTGCTTGGAACAGGCCCCTGAAGAATTCCTTCACCGCAGGAATCTCCCTGTCCAGTGAGTCTCTTGGCTGGGTTCATCTTTGATACCCTGCGCAGAGTGTTAAAACCATAGGTGTCCGGTGTCCGTTTAGTAAAATTGGTGAGCCTGGTAAATGGAATCAAACTTCCATCTGCACATCCCACCCATCTGCAGCCCTTGATTGGGTCAGCGCAGCAGGCAGTAACCATGCTGGCAACACAGACCCCCCCCCCACCGTAAGGCAGCGTTTACGAAAAGCTTGGCGTCGTTTCACCTTGTCCGGGAAGTGGTCGCTAGTTGGTGTGTTGAGTTCCAATAGGGTTCGCCTCCCAAACAGCTTTCGGGTGGGCAAGTACCCTCCCGGGGGAAAAAAAGGGGTTCCAAATGTACGTGCCTCACAATAGGGGACCCCCACATTTGGTTTGGTTTCCCTTGGGTGTAGGTCGAAAAACAAACCTGAAAAAGGGGTACCTCAAAGGACACACCCACAAATCACTGATTCACATGCCATCTGGGCGTGTCTTTGTTGAAGCTCAGTACGCCTTTTTGGTGGGTTTTAAAGGGAAACCTCATGCTGAACATGTCTCCCTTTTTGGATGGTCCAATCTCCGAAAAGCCAAGCCCAGATTCCTCGCTTGTTGCCAGGCGAGCCGCGCTCCACCTTCAGGTCCCGCCGCAGCTGGCGCCGGTCCTCCGGCGGCGCCGAGATCGCGGCGGTGGCCTGCACCGCGCACCTAGCCGCAGAGGGGATTGATCCATTCCGGAAAAACAAACAAAACAAAACAAAAAAAAACACGGTAACTACAGATTTGACGCGGACTTTGTTTGTTATATATATATATATATACAGGCTAAGAAACCAATGGGGGAACAACAAACACATGCCATGGATGTGAAAAAGCATTCTATGAGGGGGAAACAAAGGGTAGATGTGGGCAAAAAAGGATTGACTGGGGAAAACGTGCCATCTACTGACAGTCCCAACTGTGGGTGAAAGGTCCCGACCAGACATGGGTGAGGATCTCCAGGCTCTTGACTCTTTGCATGGTAGGCCCCTTTACCTGGCTTGATTGTCACGTGGCTTCAAGTCCCATGCCTTAAGTCCAAACTGTCGCCAACAAAGCACGCAAAGCGTGGCCGGATCAAAATAGGAAGCCCTTCAACCAAAAGCACCTGAAACTGTCAGGCTTGCGATTTGCGCCGTCCTTGGACGGGGCTGTCACTCGAGCTCATCGGGATACAGTCCCCGATACCCTTCCTTGCACCCAATCCCAGCAACCACAACATGGGTATGTGTCAAAGCAGGGGGACCCAAAAACGATAGCTTTCCCCTTTGAGTTCCCTAGAAACCAACCTTGAAACAGCTATCCTCAAAGAAGAACCCACACCCCTCTGCTTCAACGCCAAGGCCTAGGAGACAAAAGCCGCGCCTGGCTTTGGACCAAAGTTCCTTCTTCTCGCCTGAGCGCCACAGCGGCTGCCACCAAGCCCCGGGCAACAACTCAAAAACTGGCGAGACCGGTGCTCAGGGAGTTGAGGAAATGACCCTTGTAAACCATTTGCGATTTGCTTTAAGGGAATCCCTGGGTTCATTCCTTCAACCTCTGGGCACTGAGCCAAGGAAACCAACTCGGGGATGGTTCTTCTCGTCAGTCCATGTCTCATTCCCTGCATCTAGCAGGAAAAAGTCAGGGAGGTCAACCTTGGGAAACTCCAGCTCCGGCCGTCCGGCGAGGGGTTTTAAAATGTTGGAAGCTGATGGAAATATAGGGTCTGCGGGTGTGTCTTTTTGTGGGGACCCAAGAAAATGTGTTTTCCCTCCACCAGAAAAGGGGTACCCTCAAAACGAGACACACCCATGTGCTGGACTGAACCTGAGGTTGATTTGATCCAACGTCAACCGATCTCCCCCAACGCGCGCACGGCCCTCCTGCCTACCGGCTCAGTCTCCTGGCAAAGCAGCACATTTGGAAGCATCGGCTTTCTTGACTTGGCATTGACTTGCTTATTTTTGCAATAGGGCTGGAATTGAGAAGAATGTGGTCATCACCTTTATCAATCTATTCCACACGCTCAACAGCAAAGATACCGTCGCAGCTCGCAATCCTCGTACAGAGGTGGCAGGCACACACAAACAAGCAAACAAAACAAACAAACAAACAAAGCAAAGAAAGGCAAGCAATCCCGCAAGGGCACAGGTTGCCTTACCTTCCCAACTCGGCCTCCGCGTAGCCAGCAGCTTTCAACGACTTTCGTGTCGGAGTCGATGCCGGCATCGCTTGGATGAAATCGGCGCCTGGCTGCCGCAGTGGGAGGTCTGGGACCGGGTGGACCAGGTCCTCGTCCAAGCTAACAATCGACCAGCAAGTTTGCCAGTTGATGTGACTCATGCTGGGAGAATTAGCCAGCCAATTCAAGCGCAATGCTTCATTGATCAAGTTGAACCATCTGCTTGTGAAGAGTTTCACAGTCAGAGTGGCGGTCGCTCCTCACACTTGTTGCAGCTTCTCAAAGCTTGGCTCCACTCGGCACTCCTCTCCATTGCAGGCTGGTTCAGGATGGAACTCGCTGCACATCTCCAACTCCCCATCAAGAACCCATCGTACCTCCCCTGACCTAGCGTTGTATCCCCAGTTAGCACAAACTGGGAAGACCCAAGGTGCATTGCAGCAAATAAAACAACAACCAAGAACAGACCACCATAACAACTATAATAGCAAACTCAGAAAACGCAACAAAGCAACAAGAAGGGGGAAAAATGGGAGAGGGAAAACAAGAAGAATACAAAAAGAAGAAGAAAAACAAAAAGTAACGTCATAAGAGACACAGCCCTGCGCCTGGCCTGGGACTGTCGCCGGCTCGGACGCCGGCGCCGGCCGAGCCGCAGGCGCCTGGAGGCCAGATGTTCCACTGGCGAATGTTGGACAGCGGTTCACCTTTTTTATGTTTTACTATCAAAAAAGATGAGTGCAATTCTGGCTTCAGCTGTCTTCTCCTTGACATGTTTGACATGTTCGCGGATCGCCTGCCGATGGACCAAAAAGAACAGCAGTTCGGCGGGGTTAGAGCCCATGAATACGGAGCTAAGCCACCTACTGGCACCGCTCGTCACGGACTCTCCGCATCCAAGCCTTGGGTGATGCCCCCAGACCCTGGCCCGAAGCACAACGCCTCTAGGCGCGCTTGGAGTGCAGCGTTCTCCTGGCGAGTGGATTCAAAAGAAATTCCCTGGCAGGCTGCAACACTGCCACTGGACACCTTCACTAGTGAAGTGCCTTCCCAGCCCTCCCAGCCCGCCCCACTCGACAAAAGACTGTCCAGGGGCTCTTTCAAAGGGAACCCCCCATTTTCAGGGATTACACCCGTTTGGAGACAAACTCAAACCAATCTCCAGACCCCAAAACACCCTTACCTGCTGTCTCCTGCTTCAAGCGTAACACCTCCAGCTCCAGCTGTCTGCAGCGCTCGGTGGACCTAAAATCACGAGGAACTGTGATGCTGGAGAAACAAAATGATCAGACCGATTCGTATAAACTTCTAGGTTGACCGATGTCCTTTCCCCTGAGTTTCAGTGGCTTAGGTCTAGAGAAAAGGTGGTCCCTTCAACTTCAGAAGGGGAACCACCCTGCTGCAAACATTCTTGCAAAGCTGGAATCTGAAAACAAAATTGGCAACCCGCTCTTATAGGGGACATTGCACAGCGGGACACCTTAAAGTGTTCTCTTCTGTGGTGTGGTGTGTCTACATTTCCCCCTGTGAGATTGCTTTGAGGTCCAAAGGACCCAAGAACTTGAGAACCCAACCACAGACTGGCACCCAGTCTGCGTTCTACTCTTACCTGGCCGGCGGTCGCGCTCTTCGGCTGAAAAATAAGAGGCTTTGCTGCTTGTGAGGCAGATCAACCAACGGAAGCGAAGAAAGCAACTCACTCCTTCGACTCATCTGTCAACCGCAACCACAAATGGGAAGGAGTGGGGGAATTCTTAAAAAGGCAACTCTTTTTATGAATATATTAAATATTATACATGTATATAATATAAAACAAGATAATATAATATATATATATATATACATACATAGTATATGCATATATACACACCCAGGCCAACCACGCCACCCAACTCAGCAAGGCACCCCGGCTCCAGGCCGGGCCCGGGCACCTGCCTGGCCTGGCGCCGCTCAAAGTTCGCCGCTCATGTGGCTGTGGCTCAAAAAACCGGTACCCAAAATGGCTTGCCCTGGTAGTGGAAACATGGAAACCAAAACCTGCGGTTTGCCCCTGCTGGTTAATTTTGAGCCACACTCATGTGAAAAAAGAATTGAGACAATTCGGGAAGTTCTGTTGAGAAAAATATCTGGGCGGCTGAACGTCTACAAGAGTATCTTTTGCAAACATGGCCCGAGTCAAGCACACCGGCCATGGCCTTTCTAGAGAACACATTTCCAGCTGAAAAGGGACTCAAATGAGCGCACCAAGATCAGCTGATCGAGGAAACCTCCCCCCGGCGGCCCCCATGAACCCATCTGAATCTCGGCACCCAGCCAACAGGCAGCTACCGCCTGAGACCACCAAAATCTTCAATTCCAAACGTGAACACCTTCGCTCAGCAAACACTTCAGACACTTGACCGGCCAACTTGCTATTTGCTGCCAGAATTCCACTTTTTGATCACCAAAGGTAGCTTTAAGGGGTTACTCAACGAAGCAAGTCTCCACCATGGCAAGTGCGAACCTGTGAAGCAAAACTTCCAAGCCTCCATCAAAGGAGTTTTTCTCAAAACCGGACCCACAATCCCACAGGAGTCCCATCCGCCACCCCAAAAAAAATAAAAATAGTAAAACATGTATTGAAAGAAGCAAAATCAATGTCATAACAAACAACAAAATATAAATATATATCATAGTATCACAAAACAAAACAGACAACAACAATCAACAAATCATAACAGCGACAACATTCATCATAATCAGATAAAATCATAACAGCATAACAACAATCAAAAACAAAACAGCAACTTAACTTCCTTGAAACTAAAATCCAAAAAATACACAACACTAACACAAATATTTCAACACATAAATCTTACAATGTGTTTTTATTGTAAGGTTGATGGTTATCTTATAATTTAAGCTCAGGATAATAATTCAATTGATGATGAGACAAAAATATATACTCTTTACTTATTTCATACATCATTTTAATAATAATATGTGCATCTCGAGCAGTATGGTTAACATTAAACTTGTTACTTTCAATAAATAGTTGAATATGTTCTTTAACATCGTCTCCTTCTTTTCATGAAAACCAACATCCATAATATGTGGTCTACCATTTCATACTTTTTCTTACTAATCCTTAAAAACTGATGAACATAATCATAAGGTGGGGTTTTATAAACACTAAGAAATATTATGATGTCATCGTCTACATTTCTTTCATCCATTCTTTTCATTGCTAAATTATTTTTTATGTTTTTGAATAGTGTCTCCATAGTTGACATTCATCACATTCATCTTCTTTATCATAAGAATAGTCAATGGCATTTACTAATACATTAGGTAAATTTAGTTTATACAATTCCATATGTTTTCTTTTCAATTGACAACAGTCATTACATTTCTTATTAATATACTTACTGATTTCAACACCGTTCATTTTCTCACTCATATATTAAGTCATTATTTCTTTAAGCCATATTCAAAGAATTAATATAAACTTAGATTATTATCAACTTAAGTTATTATCAAAAACAAGTATTATCAACTTAAATTATTGTCAAAATATTAGTATTCACAATATGTTGTTTGTAAGGTTCATGGGGTTGCTTTAGTTCTTAAAGATTTTCAACAATGATTATCTTGAAATAGAATATGTTGATACCTATTACGTCATAACGATTTGGGTCGTTTTTAATGCCAGTCCTCATTTCCTTAACTATTCTATTTAAAACTTCATCAATGTTGTGTTCTGTGCAGAATAATCAGGGTCATAGTATGAACTTTCATATTCTTCATCTTCATCATCTTCATAGTCACTTTCATACATTATTGCTTCTACTTCTAACGAAACTGTGAATTCCGCTTGAAAATCTAAATTATCTTCCGCTTCTTCATGTATCAAACTTAACAATTGTTCTTTCTGTCTTTCAACCATGTGTTCTATACTATCTAATTTAAATGCCAACCTTCTTTTTATGAAATAACTACTTCCAACTCTTTTTTGATATCCCAACCTGTATCTTTTTGTATCAGTTTCAGTTGTGTTTATTTTGTATTTGTTTTGTATTCTTTTCAGCGCTTCGTTATTACAATGTTTTTATCTTTACATATTCTGGCTTTCAAAATATATAGGACATAATATTACTAATAACTTCAACAGGTAATTTATTAATTTCCATTTCACTATTATATTAAGTCCTTATTCCCTTAAGTCATTTTCAAAGAATTGCTAAAATGTTTTGTAGTTTTTTATGTCTTCCCCAGTCATACTTTCTAACTAAACAACCACATACATTACATTCACTTTTTCAGCAAACTGCTGTTGTATTTTAACTGCATATGTTTGGCAGTGTCTCTTTTTGCTTTCAAGATATGTGTCACGGCTTTCTTCTTTCCATGTTTCATGAAATTCATTTAGTTTCTTTATGTTCTCTTGGTTATATTCTTGATATGTTTATTTGTTGTCACCTTCCCATTCCTTCCTTGTTCTTAAGGGGACATACTTACTGACACACACCTTATTTTTAATATATTCTGTCTCTCTTTGTTCTAATTCTTCTTTGCTATTACATGGAAATAATTCTACAAGTATAATCTGACAATTTTCCACACCGTATTCATCCAATATATTGAATACTGTTAAAGGAATGTTTGCCCCATTGTTGTGTTTCTTATAACCATATCTATGCCTCCCCATTCCTTGACACAACATTTCACATGTAGAACCGAAGTAGCATTTATTATGACCAGCATCAACTACTGTATAGATTGTCCATTCTGATATTTATTCATATCTATATTATCTTTTATTATCCTTTCTTTATTCCTTTATACTATAATGACCATCTGCTAAACTGTCTGTGACAGATGCCCACCTCTTGTTTTCATATGAATTCAGGCTAATCTTTTTTGTCCTTATGCTATATATCTTTTGGTTTTTACGTCTAATACTATTGAATGACTTGTGTATTACTTCATTTGTTTGTAAAACTGTATCATACTCATTATCTGTCAAACTTCGTTTTACTGTGTTTTTCGCTGTTCCTTTGAATGTCTTATGGTCTTCTAAATCACCATAAACTGTATAAGCATATGTCTTAGGACGAAGAGCAATAAATCCAGTAATTAGATTACTCTTCAATTCATCCTTAAATTTACCCAGCGTCTTTTTATTACTAGCATCATAACATTTATGAGATATAGGATAATCTGAAAACTCCATTTCATCTCTAATATCATTGAGGTCTTTATAAGTGTCATCAGTTCCAGTATGAAATACAAAACTACCAGTGTCTGTATAAACCATTCTAATATTATCTCCGTATTTAGGTTTCATACTATCATAGTAAAACTTATACATATGTTGCTTACTCAAATCTAAAACACACATTCCAATGAATATAGGTTTATCTAGTTTCAATTTTGCTTTCTGTTTTTCAACTCCTACTAAATTCTCACTGACAATATGGCTATGTTTAAATGATGCATTATTAACACATTTCATAAATCTTGTTTCATCACTAACTATTTCAAAATCTAAATGTTTCCTTTTGTCTTCCATTGTTTTTGTTTTTTTTCCGAACACAACATTATTCATTAACTTATAAACATCTTTCTCAAAATCATTTCTGGCTGTCTTTCTCTTCTCAGTGTTAAATTCAATGTAAGGTTTCAGTATTTCTCTCTGGTCATATTTAACTGCTCTATGGGTTTTCTGTAATTTCAACCCATGCTTTAAATAAAACTGTAAAGTTCTAATATAGACTACATACTTTTGTGTGTCATTTATTAATTTATTTGTTTTTCATCTTTAGGTTTGTCTTATTCAACAATTCATAAATTTATTTTTGTTTATCTGAAAGCATATCTGCTCTAACATTCATAACTTCAGGCGCTAATGGATAATCACTATGTAAATCGTGGAGTTCTTTAGGGTACTCTAAATCAACTTCCAAAATATATCCAGTTTTTCCATTCTGATAATTGATAATATCATCTTCTGTTAGTTTAGTATCCCACTTCAATTTTTTGTAGGGCAGTTTTTGTATCACTGCTAAGCCATATAAAAAGTTAATATAACTACTTTCTGTGCTTGCATCAAAATCATGGCACATATAAATATGATTTGCCTCTACTTTCTTACAGACCTGATGCTATAGAAGGTTTATATATGGAGCAAAATAATTTTGTTGCTGTTAGTGTTGGTGATGTTACTAATGCTTCCAATCAATACTTTATGTGTGATGGATAATAACCTGGTGATGTGTTAGGTAATATTTATACAAATGCTGACGTTAATTGTGATAATGTTAATATTGCTACTGATGGTAAATTAAGGTATGCGTCGGGACCAAGATCGGTGCGGGGGGGGGAGGTTCGGGAAGGGGGGGGGGGGTTGTCACTTGAATTGTACATGATTGACCCTTAGAGCAATGTAGGAATCCCTTGTATCACTTTGTACAGCATGTGAATCACAGCTTGCTATCTTTGTTTGCAGTGGCTTAACCCACATTCTCACAGAGAATAGCTGCGCAGCCATAAAAAAGACATCAGTCTCGTGCCTTGTCATTCTGACTGCTTAGGAATATATATATATATATATCAGTATCCTGTTTGGGGGGGGGAGATGGTACCGTTCTTGTTCATTGAAAACACGTCTCATGAGTTCTGTTGGGACTAAGATCGGTGGATGTGGTCCATTTTCATTCCTTCCAAAGACAAAATCACAACTGTTTGACTCAAATCACAATGGAATTAACGACATCCACCGATCTTGGTCCCGACGCATGGCTAAATTAACAATTGATACAAATTGTGAATTATACAGATATGTTAGTGCTTTTTCATCTTTTGATATGACAAATACTGATGTTAATTCATCAATTAGGTTCATTTGTGGAGACCCTGCTGTTCAATCTAATATCGTTGGAGCAGTTAATATTTCTACTGGATGGACTTTTAACACTGCTACTGCTGATGTTATGGGTAATGTATTTGCTGACAATGTTTATGTTAAAACTGGTGGAGCATTAAGAAGCACCTAATGGTGGAACATTAGTACCTGTTGATACTAATTTAGCAGTTCAACACGCTTATTTAGCAACTAATACCATTCAAACATTGGATTTAACAACGGTTTCATTTTTTGAATAATATTTCAATGACTACTGGAACAGATTCATTAATGGGAACAAGTGAAATATAAACTTATTACGATGGGACTAATTTATCTACACTTGATGCGCTATTCAGAACATCAAATACAGCGTTTAGAGTGTCAAATAGTTCAACTACACCTTCGGTTGTATTATCTATTGATAAGACATTTGGTACAACTGTAAATGCTGGAAGTTATACAAATAATGCCTCATCAACTTTTACTTAGAATGTAACAGTTGCTGGAACGAAGAAATAGTTATGTAATTTAATTGAAGATGAAAGCGGAGGAGTTCTTAAATTTGATGCTAATACTTCTATTGATAGTTATATTGGTGGCACTAAATATTTGGAATTAAATTCTACTCAAATTGTTGCTTATAATACATTCAATCTGTCATCCGACGAACGACTGAACACTGAAAAACAGAATGTAGAAGACAAACACTGTTGAAATGGTTAAACATATCAATATAAAAGCATTCATCAAAAAAGATAAAATGAAAAAGCATGAAGAAGGCTTCATCGCTCAAAATGTGAAACCAGTATTGCCAGATAAATATGGCGTTGTAAATGATGAAGGATAATATCTAACAATGAGTTATGACAAAATGACTTGTATTAGTTGGGATGCTTTATCAAAACTTATTTCTCGTGTAGAATATGTAGAAAATGGAGAATTTAAATAAAAAAGAAGCATCTAAATAATAATATAATGTGGCTGTTCAAAAAGAAAACTGATATTGATAATACGCCTCTTGATAAATTAAACGAAATTGATGATGAAGATACACGAGAAAGATTATTGATTCAAAGTGTAAAGATACTAAATGAAAAAGTTAATAAACTGTAAGAAGAAAAAAGTGATTTAAAAAAAAATAATAATTTAAACAAAAAAAAAAAAACTGATTTAAACCTTTGCAGTTATTCATTATTTTAAATTGTTAATATTATTATTGTATTTGTATTTTGATGTTTAAAAATTATTAATATTACTAATTAACAACATATGAATTATCATCATTGATTATTTTAATAGTTTTTTTCAATGTAATGCAATCAAATCATCAACCATATAGTTAAATGTATTTGTATTATTATTAATGTATCTATTCATAAAATAATAAATATCAAATAAATTATTTGATGTTAAAATACGATTGTCAACATGACACGAACTTTTAACTGAACAAGTATAAATAAACATAACATAATCACTTGATAAGTTTAATGTTTTATGTTTAATGTATCCAATTCACTTAAATTAAAAATATATGATACTGCATTATTAATATTAATATTATCAATTTCAAAATATTGTATATTCTTTAACTTGTAAGACTTATATACTGGTTTAAGTTTACTAATATAATGTTTAATACTACTATAATCTTTGATTTTTAATAATCTAACATCACCTAAACTATAACATAATACGTTTTTTTTAAATAAAATATCATATAATATTTGTATATTTATTTATATATTTAAAAAACTAAATAATGAAATGTTCCATTATTTAATTAGGTATCATCCTCTGATTTAGGTTTTTGAAAAACATTTCTTTCTTATCTGCTTTCATTAAATCTACATACATAAAACCGTGCTTTTCATCAGTAGCAGTGTGATATAATTGTAATAATGGTTGTTTATCATACAACGCACTTAATTCATTAATTATACTATCTAAATATTGTTGGTTTCTTAATCTAAATAAATATAATTGAGTAGCATTTGTTCTAACTACTGGACTTAATAATGCCAGTTATTCAGATTATGTTGATATAATGGATGAAGTGATAATATATAACAAGTAATAATAACTGAAAAAAAAGTTGCTATTATTCATGAGAACTAGTTAAGTTAGGGATACAATATATCAAAAATCAAAAAGTTAATATTAATATAAATGGGAAGAAAGAAAAACAAAAAGATTTAAAAAAAAAAAAAAAAACGGGTTAAGTGTTTCTTCAACAAATGAAGAAAAAGAAGAAATTGTTAAAGAAACAGCAGTTATTGAGTTCCCTTGTCCAATGTGTAAAAGGATGTTAGAACTAAAAATGAGTTAGAAATACAAAAGAACGGAAAGTTAAAGCATTGTCCGAACTTGTTAAGACTATTGATGATAAATTAAATCAACCGAAAAGCAACAACGAAAACGATAAGGAGAAGATGGAAAAAATATTTGAAAAGAGACAGATAGGACGTTGATAAGAGACAGAAATACTGCGAAATGGTTAATAACAATAATATCAAACAGCCAAAAAATGAAACTGTTGAATACTACAAATTGTTTAAGAACGAAGAAGGAAAATACGAATTAAAATATCTAAATCGTTCTAGTAATAAATGAATGTATTAGAACTATTTTCAGGCACTAAGGAAATTTGGGGCGAGAATTATGTAAAGCATAAGCAGGAAGATTTATACAAAATACCTGCTGAATTGATTTGTGAGTTGTTGGTGAGTGTTATGGGTTAAAAAGGTTCCGGACCAAACAACACCACCCAGAAGAAGAAAAAAAACTCCCACGCTGAAGGCTCCGGACAGGATCTGGATTTAGCAACAAGTGCTTTGAGTGTCAAAATCAAGGTCTGGATTTAGCAATGGCAGGTCGTGGCATGTAGTTGTTTCATCAAATCCAAGTGCCGATTTTGAGGGTGAAAATCGGGGTCTGGATTTCCCAAAATCGGGGTTTGGATTTCTCAAAATCGAGGTCTGGATTTCTGTTAAAACCGCTTTGAAATTGCTTCTAAATCGGGGTCTGGAGCAAATCTGGGGTCAATATCGGAGGCTGGATTCGAGCAAAATCGGATTGGAAAAATCCTAAATCGGATTGGGAAAATCCTAAATCGGATTGCGCGATTGTGGACATTGGATATGTTTGGTGCTGTTCAATGAAATATTGGTAAGTTGCTTTGTATTTTATTTGTTAGTTTCCTTGATTGTTTCTTTGTAGTCTATTTGTTAGGGGTGTTTTTGAATAAGGCTGTATATGGTTAGTTGTTAGGATTTTGGGATTGAAAATGAATAAGGCGGGTATATGGTTAGTTGATAGTAGATAGGATTTTGATAAAAATGAATGAGGAGGCGATGATTGGAAAATTGAAAATGAATAAGTGTGCTAAATTTGGGGTTGTTATAATTTTATGAAAAATGAATAAGGGTGGATATTTTGACTGTTATGATTTTGGTATTAAAAAAAGGAATGAGAGTAATAAATTGGCGGTAGCTATAAAAATGATAAAATGGATGAGGTAAAGTGCCTTAACTGTTGTGATTTTATGAAAAATGAAAGAGGTAGTAATATTGTTGCCTGTTATGAAATTGATTTTAGAAAAATGAAGACACCTACCATTGCTTGATTGATATAAAATATGCTTTTGAGTTTTTATTATGCTGTTATGACTTTATCTGGCTATGATGAATGTTGTTGCTGTTATGATTGGTTGATTGTTGTTGCCTGTTTTGTTTTGTGATATTTATGATATATATTTATATTTTGCTGCTTGTTATCACTTTTCTTTTACTTCTTTCAACCTATGTTTTGCTATTTCCCCCCCCCCAACACCCCCCCCCCCCATGACCTGCGCTCCCAGCGTCGGCAGCGAGGAGCGGCGCGGCGCACTCCGCGGCGCCGGCTCCGGCTGCAGCGGGCCCTCGCGCAGGGCCTGGGCAAAGAGGCGCTGGGTCCAAGGCGCTGGTGGCCCCCATATTTGGCGTCTGGTTCGCACTTCCCGATGGCCCAAAGCAAAGTACCCCAACTGTTTAATGATTTACCACTGGAGATGGTCTTTCCTAAAGAGTAGAAAGTTTCGGAACTCAGGAAGTGAGGTTTTACTTCACCACCAAAAGGGAATTGCTCATGTCCACTACCACGGTAGGCTTTGCTTGTAGCCTTTCCATGCTGCAGGTCTGGTTGTTTTGATCTCCATCTTGCGTTTTACAAGACGGTTCTCCTGCTTCTAGCTGGAAGCACTGGGTAAACATAGCAGGTTGCTGTTGCTCCTGTCAAATATTCGGCTTCAATTTCGCCCCAAGAATGGCCATCCATTCAAGCGGATGATCTGCGTTACTATTGACTTCGCTGCGGACAACACTACACAACTTGCAGGGAGCAATGCTGCCTTTGTCGGCTAACGAAAGTTTGCTCTACGCAATTACTCGGTTGATAGGTGGAACCTGTCAGCTTAAACCAATATATGCTATGTTCTCTTTTTAATAACAGTCGTAAACTCTCCTTTACCACGATGCCCTTGAAAGTCTCAGGTCCGCTGTAAGGGCCGTGTTGCACGCCGTGGCATGCTTTCAGAAACAGGTGTCCTGGGTGAGTAGGCGCATCCTGAACAGCGCCCCACCCCTGTCATGACAGCCCCTCCAGAAGCCAACGGTTGAAGCCCTTCATGGAAGGATGCGTGACATTTTGCGACGATCGCAATCCGAATCTAGCCGTTGCCACTGTCTTTGAGAATCAAACAAGCCCAAGCAAGACCTCGGGCATCCGAGCTTTTGTGAGCACCGCCATGCGATTGTTGATGAGGTCGTTGTGCTCGAACCTTCTGCTGAAGAACATGGCAAGAGTGGGATTCTTGAACGGAATCATCCCAGCATCATCTCCAAACTACAGGAATCCTTTACTCCAGCTTTCAATGGTGATGTCCAACATGGTCACTGCTTGTTTCTGTTTCTTTCCCTTGAAAGCAAAAAAGGCAAGTGGCACAAGCAACTAGATTGCAGTCGAATGACGTATATCATGTGGAAAGGTCTGCATGTGAAGGACACCCAGCTGCAAACCAAAAAGGCTGTCTGTCACCTGCATGGGTCAGCCGGTGCCAGCTGCACAAGAGGCCGTCAAAACCCTGAAAACAAAACCAGACTCTTGACTACATTGTGCAACATTCCCTGCACGGTTGACGAACGGTCCAAACAAACAGAATGTAACCCTACTACAACTTACAAACCAAGATGTCAACTGTGGGGCGGCTTAGCGTACTTCGGAATGAGCCTGATTGGCTGATTCATGCTGGATTCCATCCAGCGCATGCCCGTGAACTCGCAATTGTTGAAAAATCATAAGATTTCAATCTTGAATGGTCCACTGATCTCGGTGCGTTCTAAGAGCCGAAGGTCGACGATTTGTCTCGGTGTCTGCGCTAGTGGATGGCGGGCGGGGGGGGGGGGGGATATGTGCCCGGTTGAGGGCTTCCGTTCCGCCGGTCAACATACAATAATCCGGTTGCCATCCCCAGCGTGAGTCCGCCTGTTGGAGGCCACATGTCTGAAACAAATCAAACAACATGCACGCGTCCGTTGACCAGAAGACCTTTACACCATGTGAGCCATCGTCAACACTCCATAAATGGCCTGTTGTCACGGTTCCCAATGAATCATTATAATGGTTCTTACCTGTTGAATGAACATCCCTGTTAACCCCGAGCGAAGGAACAGGTCTTTTGACCCGCGCACAGGTGAGTTCCTCGGCTGAGACACCCGGCATCGTGGACAAGCGCTCTCGGATCTTCCGGGCACTTCCTGTGAATATCCACGCCCAACACTCTCAAAATGTGGGGGGAGGGAGGGGCGTTTTGGTGTAAGCGGGAACCCAAGGAACACCCGTGAATCATGAGGAAAGGCAGCGAGGGAAAACTCCAACAAACTCGGCTTATGCAAAGCAACCAAAAGCAACCACAATAAAGGTGCTCGGAAGCAGGTGCATAATGATCACTTACTTTCCCTCGCCACGTTTGCGACATCGGTCAGCTGAAGTCGGATCCGCTCCATGGACCATTCGGGTTGGTTAAATCCAACATTGGGGATCCAAGAGCCTCAATCTGCAACGGTGGCGATACGGCCAACATCCTGTAACATCCAAGGAAACTAGCGGTTCGAAACTCTGGTGACTATGACTTCCGCCTCTGAGAGATGACTTGAATAGAAACCAACAGGGAATACCTGGCATCAGAGGGACACATGATGGTCGCAAATGCCTCGCACAGTTGGATTGTTGTCAGTACGCAACTGTGCAAATGTGAGTCTCTCTTCAAATCAAAGCACCTCAAAATCGAGTTTCCCTTGGCTCTCCCAAAAGCGGCGAGACCTCCCAACGAATTGGGCAGGCTAGACCAACAAACCGCTGCCCACCTGCAAAGTCGGCCTCCTCCGGTTCGCCCTAAGGCCATGGGGCGCATCGCGGCGTGAAAAACGTCGGACATCCCCCAAGTCTTGGCCCCATTTTCCTGATTCCAAGTGGCACCAAATACTGATTTCAAGGGCCCCAAATCGTAAGGTCGCCTGGGGAAATTTTCGGCGACCAATGGCCTTTTGCAATACTGACTCATGCCCACCATCTGCTGCTATGGCACTCATAGCCACTATCTGGCTGCTATGGCTCCCATGCTGCCTCCTTTTCCGCGAAAGGGAAAACTATTCGGACCATGAAAGTTGGCCTAAAGTATGCGATCTCAGTACTGCTTGGCTTTTTGTGATGCATGGAAAATAAGGTGTGGACAGGGTGGCCCAACCCCACATGTTGGAATGGTATTCACTAGGGTGTATGGTGTTGCTGCTCAGAAGAAGTTGTCGTGAATCTCTTCGGTGTAACCTCGCTGCCAAACTCAGAACCTCTTGCTCCATGTTTCGGCAACATTGGGAGCCGCCGTCCAATGGAACCCACCAAACTATCCTTTTCAAAGGAGTCTCCTTCTTGAACGCTCCCTGTCAATCTGCAGAGTGGTCCTTTTCCGTCAAGTTGGTGTCTCGGGCGCACGGTTTGAACTGCAGCCTCATCGCCCTCATCGTCCTCGTCCTCATCATCGCCTTGGTGATTCGCAAGGCGGTCACAAGGAGAAGTGCTCCTATGTTACTGCAGGGCAGAACGGGTAAACCCAAACCATGCCTTCGCGGGTGGGATTCCTTCTGGGTCCTTTGGAACACTGCCAAAAGTTTGAAGACCATCAAAAAAATAGATGGCTGTGGCTCCAAAACCGGTACCAAAATGGCTTGCCCTGGTAAGTGGAAACCTGGAAACCAAAACCTGCGGTTTGCCCCTCCAATCGTTTCATTTTGAGCCACACCCAGATACCCTCAGAAAGCGCTGGTTCCGCCCTTGGCCAAGCTGCTGAAGGTGTAGCACTGTGCCTGTGCCTGGCATCGAGCGGAACCGTCAAATGCAAAGGTCGACTACTGGGCTCCGGCAAAGAGGTCTCCCAGAATCGCATGGTTCCCAAGCTACGTAGCAAGGAAACCCTTTCAAATGGCAAAGGTGATACTCAGAGCCGACATGCCAAAAGATTCCACGGGCCCGTTCTGTTCACAACGGCATTGCTGCCGAAAACGTGTCGCCTACTTTGGGCACCCATCTGCAACTGGTCTGAGGAATCGCACGGTTTACACGTCCTGTCCAAGTGGCATCTGGAGAGGAAATCAACAACTCAAAAAGCAATTTTGAGACCAAAAGCAATTTGGCCATGGGCCAAAATCCCGTACCCCCAGTGAACATCCCAATCCCCACTAAAACAGACTAAAATGGGTGGTGCACCTACCCCGCCCCAACATGGGATCCCATTGGTTTTGACCCTCTGCCATTTTTGAATCCTCAAACTACTCTTCACTTCAGACCCGAAGACAAGTTCCCAGCGTCTTCACGGGTGCCAGCCTCCGCTTCAGCCGGCTTCACATCACCTGACGCTGGTTCGCTCACGGCAAAGAGGCCTTCGGTGATGTCCCCGTTCCCCGCTCAGGGAGCATGAGCCCCGAAAGTCTTGGTGCTTGAAAAGAATGGTGGAGAAATGGAGTCCAGCCCCAGCGTCCAGCCCCAGCACCAAATGCCACACCTAAACTCATGTGTCAGTCACCCAAAAGGGCAAACACTCAGGACCTCTGCACACTTGGAGTTGCAGTCGCACTTGGATGTTCAACCCAGCTGAGGCAACCATGCTTACAAATGGAGGGATTGGTGGATACATACATAATACATGTAGACATATAATATATATATATATATATGCATATGTGGATCTACAAAGGATGGGTGTGTCTCTTTTGGAGGGTACCTCCAACCCTTTTTTAAGAATGTCCCCGCCCTCCACTCCAACGAGCTAAAGAAGCAGGCCGAGCAGACCGATTCGTGTTTGGATGGAGCTAAGGCATGTGCTGTGGGGACCTTCGTGAGGCATCTTGATCGGGCGTGCTGCTCCAAAACAAAACAACTAATACAATATGTGTCCCAAAAAGAAAATCGTGATACACTACGTAGTGATGTAGATATCTGTCCACTTTTTTTTTAGACGCAACCTGCTCCTGCTCAGCAACAGTGCGATGGGGAAGACAAGAACTCCACGCTCAGTACAATGTTTTCCCTTCCAGGTGAAGTTTCCAAACAAGAGTGTTGGAGAAACGTTCGGGCTGCAGAGCTTGAGAAATCGCCCGGCGCCATCTCTGCGGCGGAAAAAAAAAAGGACTGTGATTTCGCCTCTATCAAAGTCACCCTCAAAGTGGTAGATTGAAGGGAAACAGCCCGGGTTGGCCCTGCAACGCCAGTCTCAGAAGCTGAGCAGCCACGCTGGCAGACATTGTGCACCGCGCGGCACCAACGTGAATCAATGCAAAAGGCGTGGTTCGTTGCAACTTTCTCCTTCTCCTTGACTCCTGTCTTTCTTTCCAGGCTACTCAAGCAAGCAATGGAAACATACATTGTAAACAAAAATCTGGCCGGCCGATCTGCTCGAAAAAAGATCCTGCTTGGCTGAAGGTGCAAAAACACTACCGAGAATCTTTGCCATTTCTGTGGCACACTCTCAATGAGCGGCAGATGTGTGCTTTGCCATCGGGCAGATTGAATCGCTTCGATCCAGAGCGCAGGGTGTGCGGCACACATCTCCGGCAAAACATGAGACACAGATTTCACCTGCGTTTGTAAAGGAAACTCCTTTTGGGGGATTCTTGTGACTAGCTGCACTGAAGAATCTATAACAAGTCCGGCCGGCGCCGGCACGAGCACATGAAGGTTCCTGAAACATTGCTTCTGCAGCGCAAACATGAGCTCAATCCACAATTCTCATGTTACTTGCCTTGCTACGGGCGCGACAGGAAGAGCACAGCATCCAGGACATTGCACACGACATCATCCGCACATTTAGACTTCATGCGTGCTCTCCGCAAGGCGGTCCAGCAAAACAACAAACAAAATGTGATGCTGAAGCAAAGCGCGCCCACAAAGTGCACGAGCGCCTGCAATCCCCGCTCAACTGTCAATGCGGATCTCTTGAAGGCAGACGGGAGGTCCATTTTCCACCATTCTGTGCGATGCTGCGAGCAGTCTGCATCTTGCAGTCGTTGCGCTCGACCCAGATCACATGGTCCCGGCAACCGCAGGTGCACATCTGAGGGGCGACAAGTGTGGAAAAGGCTATGATCTGGCGAGCCCTCTGTTTCCCTTTCCCCAAAACACCTGCCCATGCTGCACCCTCCAGCTGCTGGAAAAATAACTGGATGCAGGCCTGAGCAGGGGCATATGCCCCCTCAAATCAGTCCCCCTCCCCATAGGACACGGTCCCGCTCGAACTCGTCCTGCGACAGTGCTGGTTTCTGGATACCTAACCCTGGAGCGGCGTTGCAACTTGCAACCAAGATCCCAGACACTGGCATATACGAAGCCCCTCTAGATGGGTGTTCCCAAAATTAGAAACCGAACAAACGGTCAGGGTCCCCTATGTTTGGACACCCCACAGGGCACCTGCAACTTGCAAGCCTCGTTTGTTTGAGTGGTTCTCAAGGAGAAGCTATACCCAAAGCCCCGGCATGCAAGCTGCAAACCGCAGCAGTCTGCCCGCAGCTCAAGATTTGTTCATGGCAACTTCGACGGCAACTCGACGGTGAATGTGGCACCCCCAAAAAGCGTGGGAAGGGAATTGATTGACCCACAATGGCTGTCTGCACGCACCTTGCGGCAAATGTCCACGATTTGGCGGTCTACTTCCTGGGCGGGACAATTGTGACGATTTGGCTTGGCAGTTCTGCTGACACCCGCAGCACTGGCAGCACTTCAATACTGGTGAGCCAGTCAACTAGAAACCCGAATCCCGCTTGTACTAGCACGTGAGGGCGCTTCCAAGAACACTATCAAACAGTTTGCTGGTGGGCGGCCAATGAGAGTAAATTCCTTCAGACCCGCCAACAGGCCGCTGGAAGCAGGAAGCAGCAATAAGGAATCGTGAGGTTACCAGACGCAGAGCTGACAATTGCCTCACGTGCACGTCTACACCTTTTACCTATCCCAATCAGATGTGCCAGCCGATTTTTTCCCCAAAGAGGGGGGTTTACCGCCCTCTGAGAGTCTTTGGTTAACGGTCTCGCGAGGACCCTGGGCCCAGGAGCAGAAAGGTGGGACAGGTCGGCATCTTCTGGTGCGTCAATGGCCTTCCTGAGCGTCTCGTACCTGTGGAGCCCCTCAACGCGTCCAGGGAAGCTGGAAATACTAGCCACCACCCGTGGGAAACCTTAGGTACACGGATAACCGAGCTGTAACTTGATTTGGCCTCATTTGATGATGATTGGAAGCATCCGCGCCAATGGAGCCACTCACTCTGTTCCACGACATCACACTTGAAAGGTCAAGCAAGTGCTTTAAAAAAGAACGTGAAGGCGACTGACGGCATCAAACAATCAACCCAAAAAGCAAACACGTGCGCGGAAGGCGGTGCCGTGCCCTCGATGGGAAATGGCTTTGTTGCAACCACTGTTCCAAACAAGCGATGCTCAGGTAGAATTACGCACCGAGGTGAGATATGCAATGTAAAGGTCACAAATTCAAGTGATGGAATGGGAGGCAAAGCAAGGATCAGCTCCCAAACAATGCCTTCCTATTCCTCCACATTAGCAAGGCACCAACGCACAAGAGCTACTCCAGAAGAAACGCGGACTCGGAAAGCAGAGAAGACTTCTGCAGAGGAGACCAAACCAAGAAAGCCCTGTGGATCTTCCAGATCTGTTGACCCTGACTGCAAATGCATCTTGTGGCCTTTCTCTCCGCAGTTCATGTGTGAGTCTCGGCAACATGCATAGGTTGAACTCTAGATGGAGATTTGTGTGACCACGCAGACACCCGCGATGCGCTCTTGCTCTATGCATGTCGATCCCTCCGCGACACGGCTCTGCCCGGCCTATCCTTGCCGCCCTCCCCGGGTCGGGGGATGTTGGCCGCACCGGCCTGACGCAAAGAATGTTGCCGGGGGGGGGGCCTTTTTAATATGAACAGGTCGTTGATGCCGCATCGAATCTAGGCCATTTTTTTTGTGGAGAGGGGTTTGATATTGGTTCGGCTTCAAGCAGTCTGACACGACAGCACCTCTGACACGGTTCGCGCAACCCAGGCAGCATCTCAAGGCCTTGCCGATTGATTCACACAATGCTCACGAATACGTGCCCCGCCTGCCCCTCCTCCGCGTCTGGCAGTAGTCGCTCATGCAGGCGACCTGACACACTTTGCCGCAGGCACGGATCACTGTCAAATGTTGGGAAGCATTCGAGCTCATTGGAAGCGCAAAAGCCCTGTGACCAACAAACACCTGTAATGACTGATAAGGCGTTCTTGCACACATGTGAAACAGGCCTGATGCAATTTACAACCATCACCCCTCGCCAGTTGAGGGTAAATACCCAGCAGTTGTTTGTCCTTGCCTTAAGCCGAAGGCATGTGCGCGAACTTGTCTTGATTCCGGCTGAGGCCGTTGCATTCTATAAATGCAGCTTCTGCACACATGTGGGTATGGTATGGTTTCGCACGTTTAACACGCTTTGGCACACCTACTATGAAGTCTTCGCCCTGGGCCCAATGGTTACGTTCTTACAAACAATCTTCTGGACAACATTTGTCTAACCCCTAACCACTATGCATGCATGTATGTATGTATCAGTATATGTGTATGTGCAAATGAGTGTGTGTATATGATTATGTGTGTATGTCTGTAGGTATGTATGTATGATATGTAGGAACTTAGGAATGTGGGGTGATGCGTAGGTATGTACGCAGGCGGTCACTGGTGACATGTAATGCAATGCATCAGAAAGCAAAATTGCGGCACAGCCACGCATCGTGCCAGTACTTGCCTTTGTCTGACCTGACTGGGCAGCCCCGCCATTGTCGCCTTCACCTCGAGTACGCATGCACTGGTCACAGGTCTGAGATGAGAATCGGGCGAAAGATCAGTCAAATGAAATAGCCATAGGAAGAACAGGGCCTGAGCCCGCTAGCTCCGGGCGAAGCACAGCATGGTCACTTTGGCACAAAAATTATAGCACCTGTATCCTACTCTCGCAACAAGGACCCGAAGAGGAATGGGGAGGTGCAGCACATTGCTCGAAATCTACCTGCCATGTGAAGCCTTGCTGGCACAGTCCCGCAAAGCAAAGCTCACTGCCATGTCCCTATCTCCATTGATTCCCTTTGAATCTGTGCGTATGAAAGGTCCCAAAAGATTCGTGTTACATTTCCCAAGTAGCCGTTTGCGGGATTTCTGTGTATCGCAGATGGTGCCGCGCATCTGGCTTATCAGCCTTCTCAAGACCACCTTGAAAAGCAAGTATGCGCTCTCTGTTCCACCAAGTCTGCATCAACATTTACACCGCAACCCCCCGGCTGATGGGATTTTCTGGCTCATACATAGTCCCACCTGGAGCAAAAGGGGCTGCAGTTCAGAGACCCCAGTCAGCTGGTGTGAGCAAAAAGGCAGCCAAACGGGTACGAAAAAGCCTCTTTTGAGGGGGTCAGCAGTCCATATGGCCATGCTTCAAAACCAATGGTACCATTTTGGGATAGGTGAATCCACAAGTCGGATTGAACCCCAGGTAGGCCTCAGCAAGGTCCGAGGATCCCACGGCTTCTGAAGAAGAGGTAGACCACTTGCAGGGCAATGCCCAGCCTGAGCTTAGCCGTGGTCAAACTCCGCCATGGTCGTGGCTCACTCGTGGTTGTCTTTCTACAACGTCCATGGCCATTCCTAGTCCCCAAGTAGAAATTCAGACTTTGTTTTGAAAGGAGTCCCGGATGTACCGCCAAAATTGGTCACAGACTAGTGGAAACTTCGAACAATCCACATATGAGTCATAGTCAAAACCCGGTATTTGAAATGGTCGACCCGGAATGATGTAAAAAATAAAAATAAGAGGGCGGCCGCAGCTATTTATGGTTGGGAGTGTCCCTTGCTAACCTTCATCTACCCGGTGTTGATCGTGACTCACATGGGTTCGCCTTGTGGGTTCAGTTCTCCACCCTTCTTGTGATTGTAAAATCATGATGGGCAGGCCTGGCAACATGTTCGGCAGCACAATGCGACAAACATGGCGATGCAGTGGTTGAGTGCTCACTGTCCTATTATTTCTATTGAGCCAAGCCACACAAAAAAGGAAAAGTGCTGTTGTTTTGAAAATAATTATGATTGGAAACAAAGGGGAATCAACCCCTATGCGCAAAAAATGAAAAACACGCATGCCCGCCACCAACGCGTGTGGGGTCGACAAGCAGCACCACATCTTCATGCGCGCTTGCCGAAAAGGACAACAAAGGTTGAGTTGCCCATGCAACAGTCTTTAGCCAATGGGATTCTGGAAGCTGGAGAAACATCCAGAAGGCGAAAAAAACGAGTAAATTCCAGGTTTCATGTAAGGACATTGAAAAATCTGCCAGCACCCAAAACCAACAGGGTCAATCGCAGGGTCCTTCATCTTCGCAGTAAAAGGATGCACGGGACAAATCGGGGAGCTCAGCTCTTTTCGGGTTGGGAGACGGGAAAACACCACTGGTGGAACTGGTCCAGCGAAATGAGCCATGAAAGCTGGTTGCTTGGTGTGAGTTGGGCTGAGTGGAAGTAGCAAACGTCACAGTCGCGTGGAGAGCGACAAGCAGCAGACCGGAGTCAGGCTGACAAGGGTCGCCAATGCATCGCGCTTCATGTGGCCATCCACCCAGGATTTTTGTTTGCCCCTCAGGCAAGCTGAGGGCGAAACCATTCATGGCTTTTGTGGGTCAAAATTAAACCACCACCCAAAAAAAAAACAGGTTCCAATCCTGGGTTTCATTTACCGTTCCAGTCTGGGTACCATTCTTTGACCCACATGTCTTTTCCTCGGGGCTTCGTCCGGCCGAATTGTTCAGCCACGGCCCTTCCCGCCAGCCGATCGCACAAGGCCCCGGCAGGGCCACCACCGCCCAGGCGCCGAAGCTCTGCAGCGGAAGGTGCCCCGGCGTGCAAGGCCCCTGACGTGAGAGAATTGTATAATATTCACCTTTGGATGGTATAGGTATGGAATATGATGGATATAATGATGGATATGATGGATATGATGATGGATATATTGATATAATGATGGAGATAATTATGGATATCATGATGATGAATATAATGATGGATATGATGGATATAATGATGGAGATAATTATGGATATCATGATGGATATAATGATGGGTATAATGATGGTAATGATGTTGTTGGCAATCCCGTGCAAAGAACCAAGGCCAAGAGGAGGGCCAAAAGGGAGGGGGTGGGAAGAAGGGCCGGATCTTGCTTTTGGGGATTGGCTGGAATTCGTGTTTTTTGTCTGAATCCCACCGATGACTTTTGGGGTTTCCTTTTTGGGAACATTTGGATTGGTTGGCAAAGCACCCTTGTGTGGCCTAAACCTTTCCCGATGCCAACCACGAGTCGCAATGGGGAAACCGATTCTTCCAAGGCGACCAGAGTTCGATTGGGACAAATGAGTTGGACTCTGGACCTCCCCTCAAAGTCTCAAGTTCTTCGCGGTTGTCCCCCGAACCAATGCAACCTCCCAATAAAACTTTCACGAGACACCACGAAACACCGTGAGATGCCACAAACACTTTGGGTTTCCTTTTCACAGCACCCACCTGTCACTGGGTGAGGGATCAAAAAAGCTTTTTAGGCATCAAAAAAACTTATTCGTGAAGATCAACAAAAAAACTTGTTAGGGGTCAAAAAGAAATATTCTCGTAGATTTCCTATTAAAATGAAAACTCAGAGGATCAAACAAAAACTTGTTAGGGATCGAGAAAAGCTTCTTCATTTCGTGGCAGGCGCGGCACTTTTGCAAGGTCAGGTACACATTTCGTGGCAGGCGCAGCACTTTCGCAAGGTATAGATTTCGCATCAGGCGCAGCACTTTCGCAAGGTACGGTATAGATTTCGCATCAGGCGCAGCACTTCGTGGCAGGCACAGTACTTTCGCAAGGTCAGGTGCACATTTTGCGGCAGGCGCAGCACTCTCGAAAGGCACTGCACACATTTCGCGGCAAGCGCAGCACTTTCGCAAGGTCAAATACAGATTTCATGGCAGGCGAAGTACTTTCCCAAGGTCAGGTACAGAGTTCGTGGCAGGTGCAGCACTTTCGCATCGCAGCAGGTGCAGCACTTTCGCAAGCTGCGATGGCAGGCGCAGCACTTTCGCAGCGGGGTTGGGGGGGGCGGCCCCCCCCCATGATGCTCGAAGAAGTGATGATTCAGCAAGGGGTGCTCAGCAAGAGGTGCGTTAATCTCTGTCAACATTCTACAAACCAGCAGGGGGGTTGGGGGGGTGGCAGCCTTTGCCATGATGTTCGAAGAAGTGATGCTTCAACAAAGGGTAATGATGATCGAAGAGACTCTTCAAAGCACCACTCTGGTGCTACTGAGGCCTTATTCGCAAAACGGTGCCTCCTTTTTGCCGCATAAGGGTTAGTGCCAAAATGGGAGGATTGCCCAGCTCCACTGGGCAGCTCCCCTCAGCAGCTGATGGGAGTAGGATTGATGCCACTCCCACAGCGAGGGAGGAATCCTCCCACCTCACCGGATGCCCTCCCGGCATCATGGGTGAGGAAGGAAAGTAGCGAAGATCAGCTTGATCAATTCGCTTTCGACTGAGGGGAAGACCCGGTTCTCAGTCGGAAATTGCGGGTCCGGATGAGTAAGTTCATCCGCCCATGTGTTAAAGTCGCGCTTCACATGCGACGGTCCTAACATGACCTGGTGGTCATGCAGTGTTAACACAATTTCCATGAGGATGGCCGCATTGGGCATCCTGCGAGTGGAATCGTTAAGCAGGGAGAAAACGTTTCCCTGGTTATCACTAGCAACCAGAATCCTAGTGTGAGAAGCCGAGCCGGCTGCACAAAGCAGAACAGCCCTCACCAAAAGGAGGAGGCCGAAGAGCTCCAAGGCCGCTATCGCCCGCTGCGGGTCCCCAGTAGTGAAGGCCCACGGCTCGCTCTCCGGTGTGATTCTGTGCTGGAACCACTTCACACGGGACTTGTCGGGGTTGGGCACGTCCGAGCACCAACCACCAACCCATGCATGGTCTGCCTGTCTGCCAGCTCCCGCATCAGATGCCCCCGTCCATGGGAGTGTGGGAGCAAACGGAGATGCCAGTGGGAACCTCTGGTTGAAGAGTCTCCCCAAAAGGATGGCCAGAGCACGAACCAGCTTCGGTGGCCTGCCCGAAGTGGTGCAGGCCTTCTTCCAGCTCCAAAAGGGCTGGAGGAAAGGTTTCGTCAATGGGCACGCCGAAGTAGCCCATTGAATACGGCCTAGGGCTTGTTCCACCTCCTTGCTGGTGAAGATGTCCCCCTGGGCCAGCCGTTTAAGAGTGGCCAGGATTATGACGTGTTTGACTGGAGCCAGCAGTACACAGGGCGTGATTGGGTCCACCACAAAGCCCAACCAGGTATTGATCGGGGAGAGCGCCGTCTTTTTCCAGGAAAGCGGGACTCCCAGCGCCAGCAGTGTAGCCAGGATGGCTGTGGCGTCCCAGTCCGCCCGGCTGCATCTGAGGACCCAGCAGTAGTCGTCCACAAAGACTAAGTGCCAGTCCACCTGAGGGAAGATGTAGTACAAGAGTCTGAGCACCAAGGATGCCTTTCTTCCCCAGTACAGTTGTGCCGAGGCCATGCCGTACGTGCCCACTCTGTTGACCCACCACCGGTTTTGGATGCAGGCCACCTGGTATTTCCAGTCTTTCGGGAGCACTTTTATACACCTGTGGGCCTGAGGATGATGAAGGTTTCCCCCTGTGTCGGCGGCTGCCACATCAGGGGTTCCCCCCTGATCCCCCCAGGGCGTTCCGTGCCCGGGGGGGTTGGGGGGAAGGGGGGCCTCCTATCAGGGCCCTCGGCACCTGGGAGTGGTCCCTTCCCTGAGGGTGTCGACCCCAGAGAGACGTCCAGGCCGCCGGAGGTATCCATCATCCCCCTGCCCCGATCAGGCCCCTCGGCCCTGGGGGGCAGGCTGGCTGTGGGGGTCCCTCTCAGGGCCCTCGGCACCTGGGGACTGCCCCTGCACCGGCTGGTCCCGAGGTCTCTCCTCAGTGCTCGAGAGCGTGGCTCGAAGTAGATGGGGATGGTCCGTCGCTGTCCTGAGCCAGTGGATGGCGTGGAGGCAGTCTCCAACCATCGGTGCAGTGGTCTTCTCCCCCGTATGAGCCTGGATGTGTGCGTTTGCTCCCCCTTTCGAGCCATCGTAGATCGTCCTGATCTTGTCTGACTCATCAATCCCCGCAAGGGGGCCCGGGCAAAGTTCCTCCGGTTTGCAGCGGCACCTCTCTGCCGCCTCCGACCGAGTGAAGGGCCCGTCCACCATGTCCAAGGCTCGTTCCTCGTAAAAGGTTGCCTCGATTTCACTGGCAAAGAGTTCAGCCGTTGGGTAGTTATCATGGGCCACCGGCGGGGGGGGGTCTTCCCCCAGCCAGGCTTCTCCCTTAAGCTCCTCCTTAGTCGGCCAAACTCCGGGGGAGGTCAAGGTAGGGTCCGAGACTCCCAAGGGGACCCCCTCTTTCAGTGTCAGGGGGAACTCCCAATCAGGGTCACCTGAAAGGGATGCCAAGTGCGAAACTAGGTCCAGGAGGAAGGGTTGACCTGGGCATCGTTCATGGAGGTGCCTAGGTCCCAGGATAGCCCGCAGCTCATCGAGGTCGGCTTCCTGGAAGGGGTGTGTGGTGGCACCTGATGCCAGGGACATTCGGACCTTGTCAATCCAGGGCCGGGTAAGGGTCATGATCAGGGCGCCCAAAGTAGCCAAAGGGGAAATTCTCCGAAAGGGGGGTTGAGCCTCCCCGGGGAAGGTTTCCCCCCCCCATCCCTCAGGGGGCGTGAGCGGAAACCCAATTGGACAATCGCAACTCGGTCAATGAGGCGTGGGACCCTGAAAGCGGGCAGGCATTCGGGGCGGTCCAGGACCTGGTCCCCATGTTCTTCCTTCCCCAGTTGTTCCGCATCTCCGGCCATCGGGGGCATGGGAGATGGGAAGTCTGGGTTCATTGTTCCACGAGGGCTTACGGTGTCTGCCTCAGGGTGGAACTGCCCGTGCTGGCGGGGCTTCGGGGCGTTCTTGCCTCCGGGCTTTGAGCCCTGGTGTGATGAGGAGGGACCGCCTCCTTGACTGGGCCCCCGTTTTCCCCGGGGGGAATGGCCTTCCGGGGGGTCCGACCCCCGCCCCTTAGGTGGTTCCTTGGGGTTTCCCGGAAATTGTGAGGGGATCCGGATGTGCCCCGGCGCTGCGAGTGACACAGCGATGGCTTTGGCCAGGCCTGCCATCATATCCCAAGGGTATCTGCTAAGAGTCGAGGACTCGTTGGTGCCCACATGTGACTGATGCGTGCACCGCATTTGATCCCAATCCTGAATTGGGAGATCCGTGGCTAGCGTAGTGGCCTTCTTGACCAGCTGGCCCAGGCGGCACTGGTCGAAGGAGATTGCTGTCAAGGAGTTTCCTCCATCCAAAGCTGCCCCTCCTCCGTGATCCAGAAGGATGAGCATTCCTTGGCTTTGGGCAGCGAGCTGCTCACCACTGGGTCCTCCGGGTGCTCCAAGAAGGACTTTGGCCCTGGCAGAGAAACCGCCGCTCTTGAGGCCCTTGCCAGGCTGGTGATGTACATCTGCCTCAAAATGAGGATACTGTCATCATCAAGCTGAGTCTGGGCGGCCTGGTCCAGGTGTGGGAGGCCCCAAAGTGTCTCTCGAGTGCGCCCTCGCACCGGGGTGGGGGCCCCCGGTTTTGGTATGTGGCGCAGGATGGACCATGTCCTGCAGTTGGGTCCTCCTCCAATGAAGACCACTCGGCCCTGCTTTGCTGCCGTGCAGAGAGCTCCATACAGCTCGGGTTGGAGCATGTCGTGGTTCCCTTTTGGTCCCGATCGTAGGATGTCTACCGCCACCACCATGCTGGAAAGGTGTGGGTAGTTGGCATGAAGACAGCTGTCCAAGGAAGTTGGGT